GGACAGGGCCAGGTGTGGAGCTAGTTCACAGTTGCCTTTGTATCTCTGCTTGCATGGCATATGTTGTGAATTGGTGCTATACAAATAAACTGTCTTAATTTTTTTTAAATCTTCATGAGTCAAATTGCCCTAACTCTTAAAACCCCTCCTCATTCTGTTGTCTGATGTTCCTCAATTTTTGTTGCCAATTTTGGGCCCATAGTTACAACAATCGAACCCATTGACCTTATCCTTTATGCCATCAGTAGACCTTAGTTTTAGTTACGTATCATGGGTAAATTCTGCTTTTTAAGTTGTTTTCTAAAAATAAAATTTGAAACGTTCAATAATCTTTTATGTTTTTGATTTCACAGGCATTTAGTAATCATCTGGTGAGCCATGGAATATTTCTGCATTTATTCATGCTTTTGTGTTGCTTTAATAGCAATTTTTATTACAGTACAAGGTCCAAGTTTTTTAGAAAACTCATATTTTTCTTCTGGCTCTTTTTTTCTTCTTTCTATAGTGGCTGCAGTTCACAGCACAAATGAGTAAATTGTTAGTCTGAGTACTGTTATTTTCTACAACATTTGTATATACAGTCATATAAGAAAGTTTGGGTACCCCTAATAATCTTAATTATTTTTATTTCTAAATGTTTGGGTGTTTGTAACAGCTATTTTACTTTGATATATCTAATAACTTATGGACACAGTAATATTTCAGTACTGAATTGAGGTTTGTTGGACTAACAGACTAAAACAAAATTTGACAGGTACAAAAATATTGGCACCTCAGCAAAAAAGAGGCATGTTTAGTAGATCCTTTTACAAAACAACAGCCTCTAGTCACGTCCTGTACCTTTTAATGAGCTCCTGGATCCTGGATGAAGGGATTTTTGACCATTCTTCTTTGCAAAACAATTCCAGTTCAGTTAAGTTTGATGGTCGCTGAGCATGGACAGCCTGCGTCAAATCATCCCACAGATGTTTAATGATATTCAGGTCTGGGGATAGGGATGGTCATTCCAGAACATTGTTCCTATGGTTGGATGCCTGAGTAGATTTGGAGCAGTGTTTTGGATAATTGTCTTACTGAGATATCCATCCCCGGCATAACTTCAACTTTATAACTGATTCTTCAACATTATTCTCAGGTATCTGCTGATATTGAGTGGAATCCATGCTACCCTTAACTTTAACCAGATTCCCAGTGCAAGTATTGGCAACACAGCCCCAAAGCATGATGGAACCTCTACCAAATTTTACAGTGGGTAGCAGGTGTTTTTTTTTTTTGCCGCCATGCATTACGCCTTTTTTATGACCAAACAACTCAATCTTTGTTTCATCAGTTCACAGGACCTTATTCCAAAATGAAGCTGGCTTGTCCAAATGTGCTTTTGCACACCTCAAGCGATTCTGTCGTATCACTCTTCCATACAGCTTCTCCTGGTGCAAAGTGCGCTGAATTGATGAACGATACACAGTGACACCATCTGCGTCAAGATGATGCGGCTATAAAGTTAAAATCTTAATGAAGTTACAAAACCGTAAGTCGATGAAAATCAGTTAAAGGTATTCAAATCAATAAAATGATTAGGGTAACAAAATTTTTGCACCTGTCAAATCTAGTTTTAATGCTTACCACACATTTTCTGTTAGTCCAATAGACCTCAATTCAATACTGAAATATTACCGTGTCCATCAGTTATTAGATATATCAAATTGAAATAGTTTTTGCAAACACCCAAATATTTAGAAATAAAAATAAAGATCAATAGGGGTGCCCAAAAGTTTGCATACCACTGTATAGTCCATTGAAGTAACACATTTTGAAGTGGTTCTTGGCTTAGTGACTGCTGGCTATGAGCTCACTCAACACTGAGAATATTGTAAACTGTTGCTCTATTGCTTATGACAGTATGACACAATCTGTGCACACGGCTGGCAAAAATAATTCCATTAAAATGTGTATTGCTCAAGGTTCTAAGACATTCTCTCTGTAAAACTTGCAAGAGTAGGTTATCTCATGTGAAATGATTTTAACTTGAAATTGCAAACACAAATATGTAGTTACCCTTTTTTTCTTTTCATAAAAGTTTTAGTTTTAGAAATATTCAAACCCATTCCAGCAATTTATCTATGATCCTACTTTTAATAAGGCAGTTGCATTTAATGGATTTGATAGTAATTATTTGTTCTTAAATTAAAAATTCATAAGTCACTGCTTTTCAAACTTACCCAACCTATGGTTTTTAAAGCTGAATAATTGACTTAACTATAGCAAAAAAATAAAACCCCATCTAAATCCCATTGTCCACTTTACAATTCTGAAATGAATGTCAAACTTTCACACAAAAGAGTTTTAATCAAGTTTCATCAAAAGACATGCCTAATTTTATTTTATTTTTTTTGCCTACAAAGCACTTTTTTCAGTATTATTGTTTAGTGGTTCTTAAAATATTGTTAGCTCAGGAGCACCCAAACACATTTCCAATTATGCTGCTATAGGTTTAAACTGTTGGATATGGAGACTACTTTTCCCTATCCAGTTTTGCATGATTTACTGTTTTTCTTTCCACCATTACATGCATTCTCAGTCTGAGGGATTTCTAAAAAAATAGACTATGCAAGTAGTTAGCCACTGTTGCATTATATACAAAGAGCACTGAAAAAGGGGGAAAAAAATAAATATTTCCAGTAGATGGGAATGTAGGCTAATCCTTGCAACATATCAAATACCTTAAAAAATACAAAATAAACATTGATTTTTGTTGGTCCAAACCACTGATCTCCATTTACTGGATTGCTGATTGCCTGTTGGTAGTACGGGGTTGAAGTGAAGCCACTGGCCGCCATATTGGTACTCCCTAGTTAGAACGGTCGCAATGTAAACAATACGTGCGCTACAGCATGATGTTCTTATTTTCAGGGGGGCTTAAGACTTTCAAAATAAAAGAAATTCATCACATCATAAGCAGATTACTTGAACTTATAAAATAGGCACATCACATTGCATAGTTAGTATATAGTCAATAAATCATGTAACACTATAAAAAATAAAATTGTGTTAAATACAGATGTACCAAAAGTGCTAAACTGATATACAGTACATTGAATATACATTAATTTATTACAGTTAAGGCAATTACATTTGACATGTCTGATAATGCATGCTAGCTATATATAAAAATAAAAACTATAGCATCATCTGCTTAATTACTACATTGACATTTCACAGTGAATTACTTTCCATTTACTGTACCATTTTCTTACATTAGACAATCTCTATGGCTAATTTAGTCAATATCTTCGATTCAGTCCAAGATAGCCAGACTAATATTACGCTACATAATATGCTATAAAATACATTGGCGTATATATTGATTTTCTTTGTTAGTACATCAAGTGGATGTGAAATAAAATGTGGAATGTCTTCCTATGGACAGCACACCGTTTTTGCAGCCAAATGCTACACATGAAGGCATTTGTACGGCGTGTCATTTTCAGGCAATCAGCAATCCAGTGCATAGAGAAGCCTTTAAGAAGGGAGCTTAGTCATAATCCATCAGTTTATGAGCAGGAAAAAAAAAACAAAAAAAAAAAAACAAGATGTTGGAATCAAATATATTTATTTACTCTGAAGACAAAATAATCTCTAGTTACAAAAAAAAAAAAAACTACAAAAAAAAACAAAGTAGCCATTTAAGGAGTACCATATACCGGAATGATGTCCGTAGCAAAAACTGCAAGTGAGATGATACAGGAGTGGTCTTGTCTGCAGCCACAAGTAAAAGTAAATAGAAAGCTATGGAAAGGTTTGAATTCTGAAGTTACAGATCAGTATTCTAATGAACTAAACATGTTTGCATGGCTTTAGTCCATTTTCCTTCTCAGGATGCAACTGATAATGGGAAAACAACCCATCTTTCTTGGAACTAATTGGCTGAACTCTCCTACATTCTACTTCTGAAGCTGAAAGCTGGTAAAATGATATTTATTTTAAAAGAAAAAAAACAAAACATTTCCCATTAGTTAAGGGTTCAAGCATTGCCCAGGTATATTATTTGGCCAATTGGACATTTCTATGGTTCAGGAACCCCAGTACCCAGTTCTGTCGACTTAGCCAGCATGGGTTAAGCAAACCTTGCCAGGAAAAATAAAAGCAATGCACAAAGTCCAACTGACATACCCTGAGGCTAAGCTCTTTAACAATCATAGAACAAGCCTCAACACTCAGTCACAATTCACAAAAAAGGCAAACTGTTGGCTCAGCCAGATAAATATGGAGCTTTTAAAATGTAAGCTGGATTAGGACTATTGCATGGTTACAAAGAAACAGGATATTTGAAAGATCTGGGCTTAACTGAAGGCACAGTTTATGTTTGGCAAGAAGAAAAACTCCAGACGTAGCAGGCTTTCAAGTTTAGTGTCACACAAATTCAGTCAGCAGCACTTTTGCTTTGCAATGACCACCAATACTGAAAGGCACAACTCTTTCATCCACACCGACACATTCACACACCAACACACGCTTTGGTCTTCCTCAGTGGTCCGACTGTCCCCATGTGTGCCCCCCCCAAACATTTAAGGCCAGTAGGAATGGAAGGACAAGACTTCTGAGGCTGGAAGCACGCTCAGGCACGTATTCCTTGAAGGGACAAAACCAGAATTGGTTAGTATTTAAGTTTCAGCAAACATCAAGTTTTTACTGATCTATCCACTTTATCCTTACCCTTCTCACTAGACTCTCCTTGCTTCTCCTGTGCGAAGTTGAGGCGGTTCTGCTCAGCAGCTGTCTGTACAGTTGTGTTTACCTCCGGGCTGCTGCTGCGCGAGGGGCTTCCTTCATCTGCTTGGTATGCAAGATCCAGATGCTGCTGCGCCATCTTCAGATGCCTTCTCAGCCGCTCCAGTTCCCTGGACGAAGGGCCCTCGTCTCCAAAGCTCTCTCGCCCGGAATCGCCCATCGGCAAGTCCCTCAGCTTTTCTTTCTTCATGGTGGCGTGGTATCCTGGGGGAGCCGTGGGCAGGGAGCGGGATGAGGGCGGACGCGGCCGACGCTGGGAGTTGAGCAAGGCGCGCCTGCGGAAGGTGTCGCGTATTCCGCCGATACCCAAATGGATGATTTCGAGGACGGTGAGGAGCAGGCAGAGTAAGGATACGACGTACATCACCAGCAGGAAGATGGTTTTCTCAGTAGGTCTGGACACGAAACAGTCCACAGAATGTGGGCAGGGAGGCCGAGAGCAGACATAGGATGCTGTTACATCAAAACCGTAGAGGACGTATTGGCCAAAGAGGAATGCGATCTCAAAGGCAGAGCGCCACAGGAGTTGGCAAACGTAGAGTTTCATTAAGCCATCACGCAGAATCCGTCGTCGGCCATCGTGTTTTGTTTCGGTACCTTCAAAAGGAAAAAAAAAAAGAAAAGGTTTAAATGGCAAGTTAATCTCTTTTCTGTCCACACAGACAATTTCAAGCCATTCATCCAATCTCAATCAAAGGATTCCAAGAGGGGTAGGCGCCTTCCTCAATGTTTGGATAGCAGGAAGGCTAGCCTTTATTCTCAATTCATTGCTGCCGTACCTTTTTCAGTTTTTTCTGGCTTGTCCTGTTCAATCTCCTCAGATATCATTGGATCCTCCTCCCCGTTGTCCTCTGCTTCCTCATAGTCCCGCACTGCCCCACGGCTGACGATAGGCATCCTCTTCTTTCTGTTGCGAACCGGGCGGTACTCCGAGTCGTCCATGCGAGCTATCTTATGCATGGCAAAACCAAGATACATGATGGTGGGGGTGGTGATCATTATAACCTGAAAGAAAGGTTTGTGAAGAGGTTACCAGAGGCGACTGAAAGCAACAAGAACTCCTTTATGTTGGGTACCCTACCTGAAAGATCCAGAATCTGACATGCGAAAGTGGAGCAAACTCATCGTAGCACACATTCTCACATCCGGGCTGTTGGGTGTTACACACAAATTTACTCTGCTCATCGTAGTAGATCGTTTCGCCACCGACGGCCGTCAGCACGATGCGGAAAATGATGAGCACAGTCAGCCAGATCTTTCCCACAAAGGTGGAGTGGTTTGAGATCTCATCCAGCAGACGCGTCAGGAAACTCCAACTCATGGTGTCGAAGAACCAGAAGCACTAAAAAAAAAAAAATTATCTGTGGGAGCAGAAGATAGAACACCAGTATAAGTCAAAGGGTTTTGAACAAAGCATCCCAACCATAGACCCTGGCACTTTCATAACTCCTCATTTACATAAATCAAATCTTTCCAATGGTCCAAGAATAGTTGCTGGAAGCATACTTTCCCCCCCCCATTTTAAAAGTAAAATGTATAAAGCTTTGAATACAAAATCAGTTTAGCTAAAACTCTAGTTATCACAACTACAAAACCTTATAAAAGGTGTGAATTGTTTCACTAAAACATCTAATGGCATGTTTAAACAGATATTTTCTGACTGTTTGTTTTGAGAAAATACAGAGTAAATTTCTTCCAGTATTGTTGCAAGCAAAAACTGTTTTCTAAATGGAAGTTTTAATCCTTTAAAGCCCGATCCACGAATAAAACAAAGCAGAAAATTTTTTGTGGTTTTAAGTCCTTATTTGGCCTTTTAACAAAAAATGTAAAAAGAAAAAACAGAAATACATTCTTGATAATTACTATACGATAAGTCAAGATTATGTTTTGTGTAGTCTTCTGCCCTCTGTTATCAGGTATATCTGATTATGTACAATAGGATTTTGAGCAAAGTTTTTACCATTAAATTATACAAACGGTGTCAGACGCAAAACATTTCAGAAACTGTATGTATCAAATATGATACATTTGGCATTACAGGGTCAAAGAAAATAATCTGCTTTAATTTTGCAATCCAGAATCTCAAAAATAAGTTCTACCTGCTTTTTTAAGTTCATTACTCACCAATCACTGTCAGTCACTAGTTTTAACAGAAAAAAAAAAACGAGTCGAATGCATTGTCCTTCCAATTTCCAAACATTTAAGGTGTTTGGTGAGTGCTTGTCTGCTAGATCTAAATTCACATGGACTCCAACTACAGATTTGCCTCAGCAAATCCACCTCCCATCCGGTAACGGAAAGGAAGGTGTTAATTGGGTCCAAGCTGACCGTGAAGCTTATATAAAACTGAAGTGTAGGTCTTGTTTTTTTAAAGCTGTAATCAGAGGCGTCTTGTGAAATGTTGCTCATTGACGTGAACTGGTTCAATCCTCTAAAAACCCACGTTTCCCACATAGTGTTCAGGTCTTTACTGTGCCTTCACACCTAAGCTGAAATACTAACCATACTAGAGTTCACCTTATGGAGCCACAATGAACTCATTCCAGATCCTAAATGGTCAGCCTAGTTCATCTTAGCTCTGGGGGTGGTGACGTAAATGCTGAGCACTTCAGTTAACCCTTTAAAGCCCGATCCAAGAATAAAGCAAAACAGAAAATTTCTTTTTTTTGGTTTGAAGTCCTTATTTGGCCTTTTAGCAAAATATGTAAAAAGAAAAAATACATTTTTGTCAATTTATTTCTATGCGATAGGTCAATATTTTTTGTGTAGTCTTCTGCCCTCTGTTATCAGGTATATCTGATTGTGTACAATAGGATTTTGAGCAAAGTTTTTACCATTTAATTATGCCAAAGGTGTCGGACGCAAAACATTTCAGAAACCGTATGTATCAAATATGATACATTTGGCATTACAGGGTTAAAAGGGGAAAAGAAAAGCTTGACAATGTCAAAGTAAACCGGACCAACTGACGGTGAAGATTCTCCTGTCCTGTTTTTCCCTCCGTCAGTCTTAATGAGGCCACAGGTGGATCAGTGTCTGAGGTTTTACACAACACTGCCCCAGCAAACCCGGGTCAAATGAATACAGCAACCGTTCAGCAGCTATCAGGGGCCTCAGAGGCCTGAAGGTCAAAGCAGAGATCTTCTAAAACCTTCAGGAGAGACTTTCCGAAGGATCAGCATCCCGGTTATGTCTGCAGCCATCCGATTCATTAATTAAATGATTGTCAACCAATTTATTGTTGAGCAAAAAAAATAAAAAAAATAACCAACTCATCAGTAATGAAGGGAAAACGGTTCAATATACATTATACAGTATAGTTTAGATCAGGGGTGCTCAAGTCCAATCCTCAAGAGCTACCATCCTGAAACTTTCAGATGCATCTTTTCTCTAGCACACCTGGAACTAAAGGCTCAATCTCCTCATTTAGCCCATCAGAGGCATGGTAACGAGCCACTCATCTGATTCAGGTGTGTTAAAAATGGGGCGCATCAAAAAGTTGCAGGATGGTAGCTCTTAAGGACTGGACTTGAGAACCCCTGGGTTGGATAACACATATGATCCATCTAAAACTACATCATTTTACCTTCAACTGGTTCAGCAAAAACACATGAATTGCAACCTAGAAACTAGACAGAAAAACAAACATTTTCCTTTCAATTTCTGCTTGCAGAGCATGTTTTTTTTGCAACAGTGGAATAAATGGTAGATGGTTGCAACAAGATTACTGATGGACCATTTAAAGCTAGTTGTCAAGCTTTAAAACGGTGCCGACACTGGGGAGGGGGGGTTCCCACTGAACCAGGCGAATCCAATCTGTGCAGGTTCAATGTAAAAGATTGGACTTGCCTGCAACCGTTGGTTCAGTAGAAGAAATACAAGATATAGAGATGACTTGTTGACTACAGACACCTCCCACATATCTGTCCTTTAATCCCTAGTCTAATTTAAAGAGGTTGACTCTCCAGTTAACTATTTGAAGGCTTTTTAACCGGGCCATTTCATTTTTACGTCGTTTCAACCATTCCCAACTACTGCCCTACCAAAAACACATTAGCTTTATGAGCGCGAGCATTTTCACCCACTTCTTAAGAGTTTTTTTTAGGCTGCTTTTTCAAAATGACGCCTTGGGAAATGATTCTAATAAAATCCATTTGTCTCTACACGTTTTTTTTTTTGGGGCCCTTTAACTGCGAGTTCTGGCTTCGATTTGCCAACCTATAAAACTTAAATCTGAATATTTGGGGGTTTTAATCGTCTTGTTGGACAACAGAAGTACTTGGAAACAAATGGTTGTTTTCCCCCTTCTTTTTCTAACACTTTATAGACCACATGAATAACAGCGCAAAGAATTTGTTCCCAACCATTACTCAACCAGATTTATAAGCATTGCCATTACTCAAACAGCCTTAATTGGCGTTATAAAATACCCCCAATAACATCAAACTACCAGCTTTACACATCTAAAGGATCTTTTTTAGAAAAGTCGATGATTGTGAAGAACTTAATTTCTCAGAGTTGTGTAAAACTCAGCAAATTAATCAATAAGACAAATGCTCTACAGGGGTTGGTGAGACCAAGGTAGCCGTACTCCATGGCATACCGAGCTTAATCCCAAAAGAAATGCAAGAGCCATCCAGTAACTGCTGCCAGGAGACCCGCTGTGGCTTTTGATGGTAGGAATGATTGTATTGAAGCAATGAACACACTCAGGAATTTATTTACCACCTTCAGCCCTTTAATGATGTCAAGAAATTACAGAAACAGGGCAAAGATCCACAACAGAATTGACTGTCGTATCTCCATTTGCAGAGAGACCCATGTTCAGGGGAAAAGAAAAACTATGGAGTGAATTTGGTTCCATTATTTTGAAAAAGAAAAACATGTTTTCTAAATAGATTTAAAGGGATTACTCAAGAGTAGGGGTAAGGCAAACAATTTCTCGGAATAATTTTTTCTACATGCTGATTGATTTTGGGGCTAAACCTTTTTTTAATCCAATTTTAAGCTTCTATTTTGTGAAATCTCTTCACATTTCTAAATAAATTCCTTTTAAATTTCCATATTTTTCAGATCACATATTTTTGGAATCTCGCTTTATAGATCACATTCTCTTGACTTCTCTTCTGGGGGGCAGGCTTTTCTCTGGAGTGGAGAGAGAAGTGACATCTACACTGGTATGCTGGACGTTATCATTTTTATTGGTCAAAAGGGGCCGTTTTATTGAAATGTTATCTGGAAGAATTTTAAATATATATACACATGAATGGAGACAGCAAAGTTATAGAAAACTTTGATTTTAACTTTTTTTTGTTTTAAGTTCCATCTCTGGATTGCATTTACTATATTTCCATCTACAAAATGTGTTCTACATTTGCAACAATAATGGAACAGAATTCACTCCATATAAAAAGCTGAACGGCATCGAGGTTTAATGGGGTTTTCAGAAACCGAACAAAAACAACCCGATTCAATGACTCACCAAGCTACAATGGTCTCACTCGTCAGGTAAACCCTTCAGTAAACTCCTACCTTCCCGATGACTGAACACTGGAAGGCCAGACTTGCCTGAACGTGATGCTGATGGTGGAAACACTCGCCTCCATGAGACCAAAGGAAAAAAATAACAGTGGAAATTATGGCTTTCAAAAACCCCAGACCTACCAGACTCCTACTCGCAGAGACACGGTGTCATTAAGTCAAACAAGCCTCTAAATGCCGGTTCTTGCTTGTGGGAACATGCAAACATTTTGGACCAAACGGCACCTTTGTGACCCTGAAAGAAGAAAGCAGGAGACGGAACAAGCCGAGATCCAAGGTTTACGCCCACCTCCATGTACTGTGGGAGGGGGGGTCCGGTCTTTTAGCCTCAACTGACCCAATCCCACTCACTGGTGATGGCTTAGTTCTCACAGCTACATTTAAAAGCCTTTCTGGCAGTAACCAAAGCAGATCTCTTTAAACCTCCAATTAAGAATAAAAGCCTCAGATATTAAGCCCATTTTTTTGGGGTTTGGAGAATAAGCATCTCATTTCAGACAAATCCCCCCAACCCGCTTTACCATTAATGATACCTACAATAAAAAGAATCTATTGGACCTCAAAAACACCTCCTTAAAGTCAAGATCAAGCATATTTCTGTCAAAAAGGAATTTACCAGACATCAGCAATTGCTTCTGATTACTTCTACAGGTGGGGGACACCATGACCATCAATCCCATCATGCAAACACTAACCTCAAGGAGAACTTAATGGCTGTAAGATGCACCGGATGGTAGGACAGGGTGTTTTTAAGGAAGCTTTGAAAGTTTAAAGGGTTTTGCTTGAAATTACTCAACTTTGACATCCACCCTCCTGAAAGGCAGCAACAGCTCATCATTCAGCAATTCCCACCCAGATTTGTTTGTAAAACGGTGGCTCGTTTACTGGTGTGGGCACTGATTTAATGGCTTTTTCTCAGCTCCAGGAAGGAGGCTGAAGGAAGGGGGCAGGAGAAATTTGGGCAAAAAGATCTGGACAAAGCAAAAGGCGAGTTAACATTCCTGCTTAACCAAAACCAGAAAGCCTGAATTCTTAGGGTTCACAGAGCAGACGGAGGAGGGGGGGGGATTGAAAATCCCTTTCATGCAGTCTCAGGAATCCAAATGTCCATCATGACTTCCCTCATGGTGCCAGCCATGAGGTTTAAACCCACAAAGCTCATCATGAAATGAGCCTTTTTTTTAAAAGATCCTTGTGATTTCAAAAGAAGCCACCAAAAAAAGGAAAAAAATTAAAAATAAGAACCTCCACAGAGCATGAACACACTTTGCTGAGTCAGACTTAAATGTTTTGGAAATTGTGGGATTTCAGGAGGAAAACAAACTGCTGCCAAAGTTATGTGGGAGAAAAAAGAAACAGACCTAAAAAAAGAAGATTATAAGAAAACCTTAAAGATATTAGTTGGTGAAATAATTCTTTGTAGCCAGAAATTCTTTTTTTTAGAACCCCAATTCAATTAATTAGCAAGCTTTTAAAAAATATGCAGTTTTTCCATTGAGGCTGGAAAATAACTCACCTCTTTACGACTGTCCAGAAAAAAAAAAAAACTTAAAAAAATGCAAAACTATGTAAAAAGTTTTTTTGTACACCCTAAAACCTGCAGGAAGCTTTAACCTGAGCAGAAGACGAAGCTGACGAGTCTGAAGTGAGTTTTGTTGGTGCCAAACACTCACCGCGTGCCCCCTCCGCTCCGCTCTTCTCTCCTCGCGCCTAATTGCCTCACCAGGTTGTTCTAATTAACGCTCCCTCAGGCGCGCGCGCTCTCCCTCTCCCTTTCTCTCATTGACGTCCGAACCGGTGTCCGCTACGAGCCCATCCGGTCCCGCTCTGACCCCGTGTGTCGGGGGCCCCGAAAGAGAGGACAGAAAGGAGAACTTTGACTCCTCGCCTCCTCCGCCCCGTTCAAGAAGAAGGAGGCCCCTGCAGTGAAACCTGAGAACCCAGACACAGACTACCGTTCCGACAAAGAAGGGACCATGAGAATCCCATTACATGTTTCATAACATGTTGATGCTGTTCAAGTGTCACCGGGTAATTTAAGGTCTCCCATCTGGGAGCGGAGCAGCTTCCAACCTGTTATCACTGAAGAGCTCTATTAAAAATAACATTTCAGATTATTTCATTGACAAATCCAATCTAATTGAATAATCTCATACCTATTTTAGGATTAACAATAAAAAAGCAAAAACCCACTCTTTTAATCATGTACATTTCTTATGAATTAGAATTAAAGATTTCAAAGTTAATTTCAGTAACTCTAAAACCATTGGCGTACACAGACTTTTTCAAGGGCAGGGACAGTTTTCAACAACGGCCCCCTCGGTGCCCCTCCGTTGTATTTATGGGCAGTGGCGGTTTTAGGGGCGATTTTTTATTTTTCATGGGGGGCCACAGAAAATAAAAATGAAACAACAAAAATTGCTAAAGTACATCATTTTAGATAAAGTGAAATTAAGGGCCAATTGCAGCCCTGGAAACCTCAGATCAAGCAAATAAAAAGTGATATTTTGTCAAAATGACTAAAGTTAAAAGAGCAACAGCTTCCCACTGCTGCAGTGTGAGGCAGACGCTGCGTTGGTCCGTCGTGGAGAACAGAGAGCTGAGCAGAAAGGCGAAGCTCTTGATTTACCAGTCAGTCTATGTACCTTCTCTCACCTATGGTCATGAAATCTAGATCATGACCCGAAAGATCGAGATCCCGGATCTAAGCGGCTGAAATGAGCTTCCTGTGCAGGATGGCTGGGCTTTCTCTTAGGCTACGTTCACATTGCAGGCGTTGATGCTCAATTCTGATTTTTTTTTTTGCGAAATCAGATTGGATGGATGGATGGAGGACAGATGGATGGATGGATGGATGGATGGATGGATGGATGGATGGATGGATGGATGGATGGATGGATGGATGGATGGATGGATGGATGAAAGATTGATGGATTTAAAGATGGATGGGTGGGGAACTTTTTATTTCCATTTTTAATGTTTGATATATTATTCTTTGATTCAATTATGCAATTAGGTTATCCTGAGCTATCTCTATAGTTATGCTGCTATAGGCTTAGACTTCTGGAGGACATAGGGACCCCTTTTCATCATTCTGCTTCATTCTCTCTCTATTCTCCCACTCTGCAGAATCTGTTACTGTAGTTCAATCTCTTATGTTCTGCTTTCCCTGCTTTTTCTCATAGTAGCTTTGCCTCGTCTTTTCCTGTTTGGCTGTGACTCCATCCTGGAGAGAAATATCAGCTTTGCTGCTTTCATCAACACCCTTGTTTATAGATGTTGCAGATCAGCCTGTTTTTCCAGTGTAGTCCTGTTTCTCTGACTGTGACTGACTCTCTTCATCCTTTGGCATGGGAGCTGGCTCGGAGCTCGTCTGCCTGGCTGTGTGTTTCCTGGATGGGGCCGCCTTTTGCAGCTGCTTTTTGTATCTCTGCTTCTGTCTCCTTGAACCCCAGTCGGCCTCAGCAGATGGCCGCTCACACTGAGCCTGGTTCTGGAGGTTTCTTCCTGTTAAAAGGGAGTTTTCCTCTCCACTGTCGCTACACGCATGCTTAGTGTGAGGGATTGTTTCGAGTCAATGAGTCAATGCAATCATTTTGTCAATTCCATCAAGCTATTCCGATACAATACTTCAATTAGAAAAGCTGATGGAAATGCAGTTACTGATAGTTTACCTCCGTTTAAATCAAGGCTAAAAACTTTTTTTCTTCGTCTTTAATTTTTTGTATAGCTAAATATATTTATTGTAAGGTGTCTTAAGGTTCTTTAAATAAAATAAATTATTAGTTTATTCTAATAAAACTACATAATGGAAACATCATGATTTAAACAGCATTTCCAGTACTGCAATGATTTGATGGTAGCTGTGAATTATCTGATCATTCGATCATTTTGGTTTGGGCCTTGCCTTACAGGCCGAACAAAACCTCTCAAAATTAGGATCACTACAATTTTTAAAGTGACCAAACTACATTTTGGAAATAAATAAAGCTAGAAATTGACACAGAATTGTGTTTACTTGTATATTAATTCACAGACAGCTTGTACCATCCCCAGCTTTACCTGATTTGCCTCTATAAAGCCAGAACGAGCCATTATTTGACAAACAAAATGCTTGTTACTGATGACAAATCCAAACCGGCAGCCCTGTACATAACACACTTTCTTCAAAATATTCATTTTTTTTAAGTACTTTGCAGTTCTGAGGTGTTTTTCACAAAAACATTTAGCATGATTTGTTGGTTTTATTGCTGTTCCATTTTCTCGTTTAAGTCATTGTTGGTGATTTCATTTCAGCACCTCTCTTCTCCAACAGTTTTATACGTATTTGTTCTTTTTTGGTTTTGTTAAATACATGTGTTTTCAATTTGCTTCTCTCTCTCATGTTCGTTTTTTTGTTGTTTTTTTAAATCCCTTAATTTTATTGTAATTATACCCTGTTTTTAGAATCACTTCCAATTTTTGTTTCTCTTTGTCACTTTTTACTGTCATTTTCATTAGTCGGCTTTCTTCGAATTCCTGAGCCCAACATGAAGCAATACTTGGGCTAAAAGGACTGGTCTTATGTTTTATTATGAAAAAAAACTTTACAAACACACACGCTTAATTGCCATCATAGTGGGTCCAGAAGCAGCAATAGCCCTGCAATAAATCCAGGTTTTATGAAGGACATAATGTTCACTTTTAGATTTATGATACGACTTTATAGCAACTGTAGAGGCTGTTGTGTTGCTTTGCTGCATTTAAAGAAATCCACACAGTCATAGTTGTGCATAATATTCAGTCTGTCCTCCAACTTTAACTGCTTGGACAAAATATTCAACAAACATCCAGCCTCCAAATTTTCTGAGTGGCTGACTCAAAGAGTGAACATCATAATATGAGGATTTGTATGCTGTGTATGCTAAGACATATTTCTTTTGTCATCAGATAATGTCTCTAAAGTCAAACTCAGATTGATTATGTAATGGCACAATAATGTAATCCACACCAGCAAACTGAAATCCTGAAAAATACCCAAAAAATATGAAATAAGCTCTGCACTTAAAACCAATTGCAAGACAGTCAAATGAGCTCATAAAGGTTTGATAATGAATCTGTGGTGCTGGAAGTTTTATCAAAAACTTTTGTTTCTTTTTGATAAAGCTTATAGTTAGAGTGCTTCAAGTTATCTCTATAGTTATGCTGCTATAGGCTTAGACTGCAGGAGGGCATAGAGACAACTTTTACTCTCTCTGCCTCAATCTATATCTATTCTCCAGTTCTGCACTATTTGTTTGTCAAACCACTATTTTCTCTCTAATCTGGTCTGGTTCTGTTTATCTGACACCACCCTGGAGGAATACATCAGCTGGGCTGTTGCTAACGACAACCTCCATTATAGATAACCAACGTCACAATTGAATTTCTCCACTGTGAGATCAATAAAGTTCGATTCTATTCTATATAGTTGGGCCTGTTTTTTGTTGTTGTTTTTTTCCATGTTTAGTCCTGTTTCTATGGGCTTTGCTTTTTCTGTGACTAGCAGTATCTGCTAAACTGTTTCTTTCCTTGACAAAACCATCTGTGGAGCTATATTAATGTTACCTTTCCAAAAATTAAAAGTATTTATGTTCTTCTTGTATTTCTGCCTGTCTCCCTGAACCCCAGTCTGATTCTGCTATAGGTTTCTTCCTGTTAAAAGGGAGTTTTTCCTCTCCACTGTCGCTACAAGCATGCTTAGTGTGAGGGGTTGTATTTGAGTCAATGAGTCAGTGCAATCAGCTGGTTTTCCTTAGATAGAAAACTTTGAACCAATCTGAGTGCATCATCTGGTTGAACTGTCTCTGTAAAGCGCCTTGAGACGACATGTGTTGTGAATTGGCGCTATATAAATAAACGGAATTGAAATAAAACAGCCTTTTTGTATTTCTTCAAGTTATTTATGGTAAGTACTTGCTTTTCTTTATAAACTAAAACATTTAAGTTTGACACAAGCAGGAGAAATCTTTAAAAAAGGGCTCAGTTTTCTTTCCAGCCCTGGATGTCGAATCTAGAGAGAACAATAAGCCCATAATCCAATATTTGATTGGTTAGTCTGTCGAGGATCCGATGCTGTGCCCCTGGACCACAGTTTGGCAGCCCAGCGGCCTGACGAAGCACTGCGTGACTGTAGCTTTTACATGAGGAGGCCTGCCGTCCAAGAATTTGGTTGACTCTGGCACTCAGCAAAACAACAGATTTCTCGCTGTCATGCACAGACCAGCTGTAGCGCTCCTAACTTACAAGAGAACCTGAAATGTTTGGAGGAGTCAAATCAGGCCAGATGTCTGCTCCCCAGCTTCCTCTGCAATCAATCCTTCTGGTAGTTTTTGATATGACCCGAGCAATAGATGAACTCATTCACCTGGATTTCTCTTTAAAAGCTCAGAATTCCACCCCCTGTGGAGAGAATATTAGCTGCATCATTAAGGGCAGGACGCGCTGATATGAAGCACTTTTGACTTTCGCCCACCCGTGCACTCCATGCTGTTGTGGTAATGTTTTAGTATCAGGCTAAATTGCTTATTTCCTCCCCCCCCCCAAAAAAAAAAGAAGAAAAAAAAAACATAAAAAGCGATTGACATCAATTCAGAGGATGCAATCAGTCTGACTCACAGATTTTTCAATGCTGAGTTTTTAGGCTCATTAATTCCACCAAAGCCAGCCAAACACACACTGAGAGAGAGAGAAAAAATGCAGCATTTCCTTGCTTGAAACTGTTCCTGGGCAGTTGATGGAGGCCTAGGCAACGGTTATTTAGATAATCAAAAACATTAAAAATAAAGAAGAAAAAAAAAAGCACAAAAGAAACACTTTCCACATGGAGAAAGATAATAAAACTGCAAAACGCAC